CATACCAACATTTTAGGAAATACATGGATATTCCTAAATTAATATTGCATACCTAATATTTTAGGAACTAATTAAATGCTAATTTAATTTGCATACCAAAAATATTAGATGCATTAATTAAATGCTTGATAAAAATAGCAAATCATTAATTATGGTTGACTATTTTACCTACTACATTTAGTAAATAGTATAGCTTTTAATATAAGTATAGATAATAATAATTACTTAAAGTTGTTTATTTATTTTTATTCACTTTTAGAAAATCATTTCCATGTTTTTGGCAGGTAAACTGATTTTTTTATCCTTATGTGTGAATTAACAAGTTGCAACAACATAATTTTGAATTAATTTGTGAAACTCTTGTGTAAAGCTAGGGCTGTAAACGAGCCGAGCCGAGCTCGAGCTTAAGGTGTTTGAGCTCAAGCTCGAGCTCTTAACGAGCCGAGCGGAGCCGAGCTCGGCTCGTTAAGTAAACGAGCCAAAAATTGAGCTCGAGCTCGGCTCGTTAAGGCCTCGAGCTCGAACCTTAACGAGCGATCTCGAGCTTTAACGAGGCGAAGTATAAAAAATTACATAAATTTCACTTTTCGAGCCTAACGAGCCTTATCGAGCCGAGCCGAGCTCGGCTCGGTAACCAAACGTGCTTTAAATGAGCTCGAGTTTGGCTCGTTAAGGCTTCGAACTCGAGCCGAACCGAGCCTTACGAGCCGAGCTCGAGCCGAGCCATGCTCGTTTAATTTAACAGCACTATGTAAAGCTGATATAACCATATGGCCATACTTTTTTTTATTAAATAATAAACTTGTACAACACTCGTGTATTACATGGGTGTTTGTTAAAAAATATTATAAAATTTTAAAATTAATGAGAAAAATTATTTTAAAATTTATTTAATTTATTTACAAAATATATATTATTATATATTTTAGAATGACAATTGTTACTTCAGTGACTTACATGTGTTATGTTATAGTAATTTTTATAACTTATATTATATAACTATTCGAAAAAAAAATATATTAATTGATAAATAATTTTATTTTTCTAATTAATATTAAAAATAATTTTATTATTGTTATAAAGATTAATATAATTTATTTATTTATACATACAATATGGTTCTTAAAATCGAAACTCATCAAGAGATAATTAATTTGATATATTATATATGTAAAACTGACAAAAAATATAAACGTTATTAACTTTTAAAATACATTTATGATTCAATAGTTATAATAAGAAATTATACTAAAATACAATTAATACATGTAACATGACCGCAAATAATCAACATATTTAAGGATAATCTGAACCTAATTATTGTTGGATTGGAAGTAAATTAAAATCTACCCAAGCCAAATAACGAACCATGTAATTTTGTCACATAGGAACACGAAACATGCGAGCTTGCCACTTAGACTTAGCACGTTTTGAATTAATATATAGGGGGTATCCATATTTTTTTATTAAAATCATATTTTAAAAAATAATAATAATAATAATAACATACTTCTTTGATGATATAACTATGGATTTTTTGTTCAAATTCCAATAAATATTTGTGTTTTGTGAAATGAAATATAATAAGGGAAGCTAATGCAAGAGTACTATTTAAGCTTAGTTCAAAAGTCGTAGTTAGAGGAGCTAGACCTTTCATGTACATATCAGTAACTAATGACCACCCATAATTGAATTGTTTGAAAGCTAAGATAATAATAACAGCACTATATTGTCTACCCCTTAACAAACAATTCAGTATGTTATATAATATTATATTGCTTTCACTAACAAAAAAAAATATTAATTAATATTCCTATTGTTAGTCAACCAATTGGGAATGAGTCTTTATCTTGATGGTATATAAAAATCATTTTTTTTTTTATGTTTGACATTGCTATTTAACCGTGAGAATCTAGAAAGTGGCTTAATCTGATTTAGATAGAAAGTGATACACATTACCATCAGTTAGTGTGTTGTAAACGAATCGAATCGAACCGAGCTTGGGCTGTTCGAGTTCGTGTTCGTTTACGTTCGAATAGTGTTCCTGTTCTTTCGTTTATTTTTCAAGCAAAAAAATCGTGTTCGAGTTCGTTCGTTTAATTGTTCGTCAAAAGTTCGAGTTTGTTCGTGTTCAAACAATTTAAAAGCTTTTTAAATATGTTCGATTAACTCGAAGTTTGTTCGTTCGGACTCGAAAAGAAAAGAATAAAATAAAAATAATTTTATATATTATATCTTTATTAATAATATTATGTAAATATACAAGAAGATAAATAAAATTATATTAAATATAGATTTTTTTAATAAAAATATTATGTAAATATATAAAAAAAATAAAATAAAATTATATTAAATTAATATTCGCGAACATAATTGAACGTTCACGAACGAGCTCGTGTTCGTTCGATTATTAAACGAGCCTAATTTTCTGTTCGAACTCGGCTCGATTAGCAAACGAACGAGCTTTTGTTCGCGAACGTTCGGTTCGTTTACAGCTCTACCATCAACTATTATATTTAGAATATTATAAAAATGGTTACACATTTTTTGGGA